ATAAGGCCTATAGGGGGTAAATAAGGTTAAATGAGGTCATAAGGGTGGGACTCTAATTCAATAGGACTGGTGGCCTCATATGAAGAGGAAGATCTCTCTCTGCATATGTACAAAGGAAAGGCCATGTGAGCACACAGTCAGAAGGCAGCAATCAAAGAAGAGAACTCTCACCAGAAACAGAACCCTGCTGGACCCTGATCTGGGACTTTCAGCCTCCAGAACCTTAAGAAATAAATTTCTGTTGTTTAAGCCATCTAGCCTGTGACATTTTGTTATGGCAGCCCAAGCTAATACTTGGGGCGTTTATTCCAACAATGCAAGGCTAGTTCAATATTTAAAAATCAACCAATATAATCCACAGTATTAACAGGCTAAAGACAAAAGAAATCACATAATCATATCGTTTGACACAGAAAAAGTATTTGACAAAATTCAATACACATTCATGATAAAAACTACGACAAACTTCCTCACCTTGATAAAGAACATCTACAAGATCCTACAGTTAACATCATACTTAATATTGAAAGAAAGACTGAATGCTTTCCCCTTAAGATTGGGAACAAGGCAAGGATGTCTGCTTTCACCACTGCTATTCAACACATTGCTAGAAGTTTTAGTCACTAAAGTTTTAGTAAGGGAAGAAAAGAAATACAAGGTAAACAGATCGGAAAGGAGGAAATAAAACCTTCCTTATTTTTAGGTGGTATGATGGCCTTAAAAAAAGAAAATTCCAGCTGGGCATGGTTGGTTCACGCCTGTAATCCTAGCACTCTGGTAAGCTGAGGTGGAAGGATTGCTTGAGGTCAGGAGTTTGAGACCTGCCTGAGCAAGAGTGAGACTCTTTCTCTACTGGAATTAGAAAAAATTAGCCAGGTGTGCTGGCATGCACCCGTTGTCCCAGCTACTTGGGCTGAGGCAGGAGCATCACCTGAACCCAGGAGTTTGAGGTTGCTGTGAGCTAGGTTGACACCACTGCACTCTAGCTGGGAGGGAAGGAGTGAGACTCCTGTCTAAAAAAATAATAATAAAAATAAAATAAAAAAGAAAATCCCAGGGAATCTTAAAAAAAACAAAAACCTGTTAGAACTAAGTAACTCAGCAAGGTTGCAGGAATATCAGATCAACATACAAAAATTGATTATATTTGTATGTGCTAGCAATGAACACATAGGAACCAAAATTATAAATACAATACCATTAGCAATTGCTCAAAAAATTTAACACAAGTATAAATTGAGCAAAATAAGTACAGGACTTGTTTGCTGAAAATGACATAATACTTTTTAAAATTTTATTTATTTTCATTGATTACTAAACATCTTGCATAAAACTATATAATATTGATGAAAGAAATCAAAGAAGATCTAAATAAATGGAAAATTGGAAGGCTCAACATAGTAAAGACGTCAATTTTCCTCAAATGATATATAGGTTTAATGCAACTCCTATGAAAATCCAGTAAGATTTTTTTGTATATATAGACAAGCTTATTATAAAATTTGTATGGAAAGACAAAGAAACTGGAATAGCCACAGTAATTATAAAAAAAAGAATAAAGAATAAAAAAAGGAATCAACTTACCTGATTTTGAACCTTGACCTAAATCTTATATCTTATGCAAAATTAAGTCAAAATGGAGCATGCATTTAAATGTAAAATGTAAAACTATAAAACTTAAAGAAAACACAGGAGAAATCTTTGGGACATAGGGCTAGTGAGGGGTTTACAGACAATGACCTGACCTTAAAAGCATGATCCAAAAGAAGAAAAAAATCAATAAATTAAACTTCATAAAAATCACAAACTTACTTAGTAAATGATCCTGTCAACAGGATGAAAAGACAGACTGTAATAAACTGGGAAAAAATATTTGCAAACCACATATTTGACAATATATTCATATCTCAAATATATAAATAATTCTTAACACTCAATAATAAAAAACCTCCAAGAATCTAATTAGAAAATGAGCAAAAGACATGAAGATACATTTCATTTTACTTTTATTTATTTTCTTTCTTTTTTGTGAAGATACATTTCATAAAGATATATGAATGGCAAATAAGAGGCTTCGTCAAAAAATCTCAAGACTAGGTCCTAGGTAAAAGGCCAGTCTGAGAGTAACTTCATACCATGGGGCTAAATAAATAAGCTTGAATTTATAATAGTACATAAAAATGTTAATTGAACTCATTTGATTTTGAAAATTTGATGAAGGATATACAAACTAATTCATCAATGCTCCAATATTATATCATATCACAAAGATTTAATTTTTAAGGTGGCCTACATTCAACAGAACAGACTCGTAAGTCTCAATAAAAAAAATAATAATAAAACAAAAAAAAAGGTGGCCTACAAAATCCAAAAAGGAAAAATCACAAGACACAGTTTGACCCATGTGAAATGATGACACCTAAGGGTAGATGAAATAAGCAGTTTCGGATGAGAAGATTAGGTATTCCAAACATAAAGTATCAATCCTAAATCACTTGAGCCTCCCATATGGTTGATTTATATTGAAAGCCAAAACAGAAATCCAAGGAAATGGACAAAAACATGGAGATTTTCATTAAATTCAGGAAATATGATAAAAATGTTCCATAAAAATTGCTCTCTAAGTGTCATTCTCAGACTAGTAGCATAAGCATTGTGTGGGGAGTTGTTAGAAATGCAAATTCTCAGGCCTCACACCTCAGATCTACTGAATCAAAAGCTCTGGGGGTAGAGATAAGAAATCTGTTTTAATAAGGCCTCCAGATGATTCTGATACACCCTAAAATTTGAGAATCACTGTTTCATAGGAAAGGCTATAAACTACAGTATGATTCTTATTGGTGCCTTCTAAAAAACAGAAAATAATAAATTGTACCTACCAAGAGTAACCAGTTCAAGATTTCATTAAGGAATTTAATATGATCAGTAATTTACTATTCTGCCTTGTTCAATTAAGAGTTTTATACAATAGGCAAAGAGCCATGGGAAACAGAGGAGATTTTAACAAAAATTTCCAGCACTGGAAATTGTTCACTATTTCAAACTCTCAGAACAAATTAGAGCACTGAGGCCTCATATGAATTAGGAAGTACACATCTCTCAATTTGAGAACAAGCTGTTTTAGTCCTTTAAAAGTACTATTCCTAAACTATTGCTCCATTCTTGCTACCCTACTTATCTATGGCTCACTCATCAGATGGATACCATTTTTAAAGTTGTACACTAGATATTCTCCACTTAACTTGAAAGATGAAAATCACCTCAAATGAACAGACAATTGACACAGACTTATCAACAAGACCAAAGTCAAGATGTTAGTCACTCTTAATAATTGTTGGAGTATCAATGGAATGGTGTTGGTCAGCTCAGTACCAGGTCTGCTAAAATACTCAGTACCAGGTCAGCTCAGTACCAGGTCAGTTAAAAATACTGACAGCAAGGATATGAAAATTCCCGACTCCTGTGTTCACTCATGATGCTGTTCTGTTTTTTAGGAGGCAGGAGATGGTGTTGATGATGAGCTTGTGAGGCTCAGAAAATGCTGTGGAGCTTTCCTTAGCAGAGTATGGACAGCTTCTCTGTGGGTGGGATAGCCTGGGCATGGGTTTCTAGAAATGATTCAACAATTACTGGAGCATGACTAGGTCCTAAGAACCTGGTGCTAGGAGCAGAGAATTCAAGGATGTTATCTCTGCCTTTTAAGAATCTAATATGTAGTAGAAACAGATGGATATACAATGAGATCTACAATTTCTCATAGTAACTGGCAGGTCCCACCAGCCCCTTTATTTGGCACTCTACATTCTATTCATTCCTTCCTTCATTCACTCAGACTTATACTAAACATTTCATTTCATGCCAGCTTTTGTGTAAAGGAACACAAAGACCAGTAATAAAAAATGGCTTCCAAAACCAGTTGCTATTCTTTTTTTTTTTTTTTTAGTGTATTATGGGGGTACAAGTGTTAAGGTTACATATATTGCCCATGCTCCCCCTCCCCCCAGTTATTGTTCTTGAATACTATTCTCTGGCAGAAAAGTCCTTTTCTTTTTCCTCAAAACCAAAGCCTTTTCCTACTTCAACTTTCTTCACAAATCTTTGCAAATGAAGGCCATGTGTTTATAGTCAACTCATTTATTCCAGTAATTCTCCCTCATTTGGGTTTATACATTTTACAAACTCTGTGTGTTTTTGATCCTCTATATACCATCACTATGAGGCCCTTATTATATGAAGCAACTTCCCGTGCATGTTGCTATGGTTTTAATATGTCCCCCAAAAGTTCATGTGTTGGAACCTTAATTCCCAATGTAGCAGTGTTGGAAGGCGGGGCCTTTAAGAGGTGACTGGGTCTTGAGAGCAGAGCCTTCGTTAATTGATTAATCCTCTTACAGTGGAGGTTAGTTCTTGTGGGAATGAGTTAGTTCTTGCAGGAGTGAGTAACAGTTCTTGCGAGAGTGGGTCATTATGAAAGTAAGCTCTGCTTGCCCTTGCTTGCTCTTCCACCACATTATGACACAGTACAAAAGCTCCTGCCAGAAGCTGCCACCATGGCCCGGACTTCCCAGCCTCTGGAACTGTGAGCCGAATCAACTTCTTTTCTTTATAAATCATCTAGTCTCAGGTATTCTGTTATAATAACAGAAAATAGACTGAGACAGGTGTTATATAATTAATGTTCTGTTTCTCTTTGAAGACTAATAAATGTTGACTGTTAAGTCAGACTTGGTCTCCAAAACCTTCATATAATGTCAGATTCGCCTTCAAATAGTTTCATCTTATAAATGGCACAAAACATCCCTAAATAAATGAGCCTGGCTTTAATTACTAATCTGTCAAAGTCTAGTATAATCTGCCACTGATCTGAATAAACTGGTAAACACGGTATGTGACTTTGTAGTCTAAATGTATAATTAGCCACTCTAAGTTTCTCCCCAAGCAGCACACAAATAACCGTGAGACTATTCACTCTTAAGTCAAAGATGCAAGCATGCAAGTACCTGACAGAAGGCTGTGGGACAGAATCTGGACTGGCTGGTACTTGGACTCCCTTTTCCCATTCTTCCTTCCATGTATCAGTAAAGAGGTAATAGCTGTCAGGATTAATGTGGTGAGAATCTGGAATTTTCATGGCACTGATGAGGTCCTTCCGGAATACCTGGGAAGATAATGCACATACCTTAAGAAGACCATCACTATGGAACTAATACCATTTAATGTCCTTTTTAAAAGATCATCCCCAACCACTCTCCACATCTCCATAGAGATGTTAGAGAAACATCTCTAACTTTCTAAATGGCCAGATCAACTCCTATTTGGAAAGGTCTGAAGTACTAACAGGGACCAGTTTATTCTGGATTTAATAAAGAGTAAAAGAGTCCTTCCTGAATTATTTCCTTGGGCTCCTTGAATTTAAATCAATAATACATTTTGCTAAAAAAATTGTATAAAACAAACAATCCTTAACTCTCTTAAATTAAGCAACAAAAATCCACTGATAACTTATAATTGTTTGTGTCATCATCTCATTTTAAAATTATTTACTTAGAAATAATATTAGACTTAAGCAAAAGTTACTAAAATAGTACAGAGTTCCCACATACCCTTCACTTAGTTTCCTCTTAATGTTAACATATTACATAACCAGAGTACAATTACCTAAACCAGGAAATTAACATTGCTATAATACTATTAACTTATCTACAGACTATATTTGAATTTTACTAGTTTCTCCCCTAATGTCCTTCTGTTCCAGAATTCAATCCAGGATCCCACATTGCAATTTCATTGTCATGTTTCTTTAGTATCCTTTAATCTGTCACAGTTTCTGTCTTTCATTGTCTCTCATGACCTTGGAACTTTGAAAAGTACTTGTCATGTATTCTGGCTGGGTGCAGTGGCTCATGCCTGTAATCCTAGCACTTTAGGAGGATCGCTTGAGGCCAGCAGTTTGAGACCAGTTTGGGTAACATAGTGAGAACCTGTCTCTACAAAACACACACACACACACACACACACACACACACACATCTGTATCTATGTGTGCGTGTATATATATGACGATGGTATTTGTCATGTATTTTGTACTATGTCCCCTCCTATTTGGGCTTGCCTGATGCTTTCTCATGATTAGATTAAGGTTATGCAGTGTTTTGGCAGGAATACTACAGAAATGATGCTATGCTCTTCTCATTCCATTATATCAGGGATGTATAATATTGATGTCTTGTTAGTGGTGATATTAAACTTGATCACTTGGTTCAGGTAGTGTTTTTGCTGGTTTCCTCCACTGTTAGGTTACTATTAATGTATTTCCCTTTGTAATAAAATGTCTTGGAGGAGATATTTTGAGACTATAAAAATAATGTTTCTCCTCAAACTATCATGAACTAATTGTAATGTCAACTGGTGGATATCTTGCCTAAAACAATTTTTACTGTGGTGTTTTAATGGTGATTTTCTATTTCCTTCATTTCTTCTACAATTATTAATAGAGATTCTTCCACAAAAAAAGATCTGTCCCTTCTCCCCCATTTATTTATTCCATTCTTTATTTGTATCATTATAGACTTATGGATATCTATTTTATTCTTTGGGTTATAGTTCAGTATTACTGTCATTTGTTTTATTGCTCAAATTCCTCTACCTTGGCCATTGTGAGCTCTTTCAGGTTGATGCCTGTGCTCTTTTGATAGTCACATCCTTTTTTGAACAATTCCTTAGTTTCTAATTTTATAACATGGCCCAGGTATGATTATGTCCTCTAATTGGTTATAAAAACTATTGATTTTATATGTTAACTTCAAAACCTACTACCTTACTGGATTCTTTTATTGCTTGAGTTAGTTTTATCACCAATTTTCTACAGTTTTCAAGATATAGTACCATATCATCTGCAAACAGTTTTGCACCTTCTTTACCAAGTCTTATATCTCTAAATGGTTTATCATGTTCAACTGCATTGGCTAATACATCTATTAGTATTCTGAATAGTAATGGAGATAGTGGGCATGTCTGTTTTCTTCCTGAAATTAGTGGAAATTTAATGGGGAAAATGTTTCCCCATTAAATAAGATACTAGGTTTAGGATTAAGATATTTACATTTTATAATGCTAAGAAAATATAATTGCTATTTTATTTAATGTTTTTATTATGACTGGGTGTTAAATTCTGTTAAAGATTTCTTCAGTGTATATGGAAAAATATTTTCTATCATATTCATGAACAATATTGATCTGTAGTTTTCTATTATCTTGATCAGGTTTAGTATCAGTGTTATACATGCTTCATAAAAGGAATTAGGACATTTTCCTTCCTTTCCAAGGTTCTAGAATAATCTGAAAATTACTGGGAGTATCTGGTACCTGTGAAACCATCTGGACCTGGTCCTTTTTGGGTGAGGTAGTTCCTTAATAATTTTCTCTACTTCTTCTATGGAAACTAATCTATTTATGGGGTCAATTTTAGTCATAGTATTTCCATAGGAAATTATTAATCTTATTTAGGTTTTCAAATTTATTTGCAGAGGCCAGAAAGTACAGGCAGTCCCACTTTACACAGCAGTGTGGGACCATAAAAATGATAATGCATGCTGAAACCATGAAAAGTAATTTTAATAATTAAAGAGGGCCATGTGCAGTGGCTCATTCCTGTAATCCCAGCACTTTGGAGGCTGAGGCGGGAGGACTGCTTGAGGACAGGAGTTCGAGACTAGCCTGGGTACCACAGTGTGACTCCATCTCTACAGAAAGTTAAAAAAAAATTAGTTGGACACAGTAGTGCATGCCTGTAGTCTCAGCTACTCAGGAGGATCACTTGAGCCCAGGAGTTCAATACCAGCCTGGGCAACATAGAGAGATCCTGTCTCTTAAAAAAAAAAAGTAGGTTGAACGATGCTTGTCTCCTTCTTATCATACAACTTACAATATGGAACAAGGGTCTGAAATGTGATACTTTCATTTTCGTTATTTTTAAAAATCTACAATTCAGTCTGTATTTCCCCCTTTTACCCAAGAGTTGTTTAACAGAAAGTTTTTAAATTTAGATGTGGAATAATCTTTGTTTTTGTTGGTAATTTCTGATTTTATTGCATTGTGATCAGACTACTGTTTATAATATTTCTACTTAATGGAAATTACTGATGTTTTCTTTGTGACTTAATATTTGATCATATTTTGTGTATGTACCAAGTCATTTGAAGAAGAAGGTGCATCGTCTATTTTGGTTTTTTTTTTTTTTTTTTTTTTTTGAGACAGAGTCTCACTTTGTTGTCCAGGCTAGAGTGAGTGCCGTGGCGTCAGCTTAGCTCACAGCAACCTCAAACTCCTGGGCTTGAGTGATCCTTCTGCCTCAGCCTCCCGAGTAGCTGGGACTACAGGCATGCGCCACCATGCCTGGCTAATTTTTTCTATATATATTAGTTGGCTAATTAATTTCTTTCTATTTATAGTAGAGACGGGGTCTCGCTCTTGCTCAGGCTGGTTTTGAACTCCTGACCTTGAGCAATCCGCCCGCCTCGGCCTCCCATATTTTGGTTTTTTTAAGAGGGTCTCCCTCAGTTGCCCAGACTGGAGTACAGTGGCCTGATCATAGCTCACTGTATCCTCCAACTCTTGGGCTCAAGTGATCCTCTTGCCTCAGCTTCCTGAGTAGCTGGGATTATGGGCATGTACCACCATGCTCAACTAATTTTTAAAAAATTTTGGGGGGAGATCAGGTCTCGCTATGTTGACTAGGCTGGTCTCAAACTCCTGGCCTCAAGCAATGCTCCCACACCTTGGCCTCCTAAAGTGCTAGGATTACAGGAGTGAGCCACCATGCCTGGCCTATTGTCTATTAACTTTAATGTCAAGGTACAGAGTGTGATAGATATCCATCAGATCTACTTTACTGTTTGGATCAATCTCATATTTTTTGTTCACTAAATCTAGGACTGTGAGAGGTATTTTAAAGTCTCCTATGATTAATGTGTTTCTATCTGTGTTTCCTTGCATCTCCTATCGCTTTTGCTTCATAAAGATGGTTGCTGTGTTATTCAGTGCATAAATATTTGTAAGTATATCTTCATGGTGAATTATAGCTTTTAGCATTAAAAAGTCTCCTCCTTTGTCTTTGGGGCTTTAATTCTACCTCATTTGATATCAGGATCACTACCACCGAGCTGTTTTAATTTCCATTTTCCTGGTCTACCTTTGTCCATCTCCTTATTTTTAGCCTTTCTGAATAGGTGTTTTAGGTATGCTCTTGTATACAGAATATAGTTGAATCTTCTTTTGTGAGCCAAAATGACAATCTTTTTCTGTAATAAGCCTTAGCTATGCAGAAAGTTCAAATGCCATTCATATTTACTGGTAAGATTCATATGTTTGGTCTCAACTCTGTCATATTTTATATGTATTATATTTTCTATGTTTCTTTCTCTAACAGATGTGTATTATTTACTCTTTTATTTATACATATACTTTTTTTTGAGATTGGTTTTGCTCTGTTGCCTAGGCTGGAGTGCAGTTGTACAATCACAGCTCACTGCAGCCTTGAACCCCTGGGCTCAAGTGATCCTGCTACCTCAGCCTCTGGAGTAGCTGGGACTACAGGTGCACGCCACCATGCTCAGCTAATTTTTAAATTTTTTTGTAGAGATGGGGTCTCACTATGTTGCCCAGGTTGGTCTTGAACTCCTGATCTCAAGTGATCCTCTTGCCTAGGCTTCTTAAAGTACTGGGATTACAGGGATGAGCCTCCACACTAGGCCTATTTATACATATACTTTTTAATTTAGGAAGGTTTGTAGTTTTATTCCAGTTGTTATCCTTTACACTTATAACTTTAAAAAAATGCCCTTAGCTTCATTCTCTTTTTTAACCTTTTACTATTTGGTTTATCAGTTTTTATCACTATCAGTGAACTCCTTTAAGGGAGAAGGGGATAAGAATGATATGTGCTGTGGAACTCAGTGTGGTGTCAAACTCCATGCCTGGAAGGGAGCCCTAGCTGTGTGGAAAGTTCAAACGTCAGAGATAGGGGATGATGCTATGGGTACAGCTACAACTTGGGCTTATATTATCCTTCTGGTTCAATAGGCCCCTGAGTAAAAAGGGGCACAGAAATGTGTTCAACAGCCTGGAAACATGACTTAAATGGTTGTGGCAGCCTCAGCT